GAAAGAAAGAAAGAAAGAAAGAAAGAAAGAAAGAAAGAAAGAAAGAAAGAAAGAAAAACAAACAAACAAACAAACAAACAAACAAAATTGGTCTGTGGAACCGGACCTTATTTTACTACCCGGATTCTTCCTTGTCGTTTTCCTCCCTCTCCTGTGAAATGTGCAGTATTCATTTTCAAGGAGAATTTAATCGCGGCTGATTGTTCGTTTTCTCATCTCCCTTCCTGTCTGGGTTTTTTCAACACATAACCACCCGTTCAGCCATCCTTGATGGCGTTTTAGAGCAGGGTTGTCCAACCTTGGCAACTTTAAAGACTTGTGGACTTCAAGTCCCAGAATTCCTCAGCCAGCAAAGCTGGCTGAGGAATTCTGGGACTTGAAGTCCACAAGTTTTAAAGTTGCCAAGGTTGGGACACCCTTGATTTAGGGCAATATATTAAAACAGGCAAGATTTAACCATTGCACACAGCTGTGAATCTTTCCAGAGGTTCAAAATCTTTTTTCAGCCTCCCAAATAAATCGCGGAAAGGAAGTTCCCGTGTGTGTGCAAATAAGAAATATTCACCCGCCTAGCAATTCCCATTTTTGACTCCGGGAAAGCCACAGGTCTCGTTGGTGCTTTCACTCGCCTTTCTCATCCTTTTCCACCAGCGTGTGACGCTGCAGTAGCAGCAGCGGCTTTTCGGGCAGTTTTGCTCTGCCAGTCCGTAAATTTACTGCAGCTAAAAAACAAGCCCTCTCTCCGCCCCGCCCCCTTGTTTTTTTTTCTTCTCCCTGGCAGCTTAGGCTCTCCTCTGCTCAAAGGCAGGACCTATTCACGTGAAAAGAAGCGGAGAGCCGGAAAGGTGCTAGGAGAAGGATGCTCAGAGATGTGTACCTTGCAGCGGTGGGTGAGGACGGGGGTGGGGGGGGGGCGATAGACAGCTTCTCAGAAAGCTAAGAATCCCCTTTTTGCAGCGGGTGGAAGAAACGGACATATGCTATTACATTAAAGGCAGTTGTGTTTTGACGGCTCCGGGGATCTCCCCTCTTCCTATCTAAGGCTGTTTTGATCTTGTAATTCCACATCTTTCCCGGAAATCTATATGACGCTTCACAGCATAAGAGCCAAATGGACCTACCGCTCGATTTATCGGTTAGGCTTTAAGACCCGAAACATGAAGGGGATGGAAGATTAAATATGTTCAAAGGAACATTGAGTTTTCGACCAGCGTCGCTGAAGAAATGGCATTTACCTTAAAATTCCTTGTTTTAAAGAAGCCGACGAAATGTAATGCACGGAGCTGAAGGGGCGCATGTATACATGTTTAGCGCTTGCTAAAAAGAGGTGTTATCTTCAACTAGATTGATAAATGTTTGAATGCAACCGAACGCTGCGTCTCCCTTGTGTCCTCCATATCTGTGCGGAGACCTTGGCAGCACAATAAAATAAAAAAATCATTAGCCCAGACTCCATTTATAAATGATTTCCTTAAAAACAATCCCGTAATAGTTCCGTTTCGAATTCTGTAATTTGGAGAGCTCTTTCAGGCTGCTTTCAGGCGAACTACTTTGGGGCACACATATATAAGATTCCATCGTAAACAGCCATTTCCAAAACAATCTACCCGTGATTTGGAAGGCCACCTTACTGACTATTTATGCTACGATCTTCCAACTCTTCCCCCCACCCCCCACAAAAATGGTTTGGTGGAAATTGCTTGAACCCTAGCGATTGAAGTTTAAGCTTGCCTGCTCAGTAGTAAGCCCTACGAAGTATTTGGTTAATGAAACATCTCCCGCCATTCTGCTCCAATTCACCCTACAGTGATGCTTCAGATCTACTACTATAGTGATACACTATTCGAAGAAGGAGGGGGACGTAGTCGGCGACGCTCGTCGCTTTCCTGCAAGCGCTAAGGCTTTCCAGCGGGGGCGAAGTTAGCCTCAGGGGTTTTGCGGCTCCAGGAAGTTTAAGAAGTCGAGAAGCAGCGTTTCACCAAGAGAGCACTAGAATCCGTTGCTATAGTGCAATTCCTCTGCGCCACCATATTAAATCAGGAGAGCCAGGAACGGTAGTAAACAGCCGATCCGTAGGAGTCTAAGTGTAGGCTTAAGCGGCGAACAGGCATAGTTATTGATCTTAATTTCTCGCCATCACAATGCACAGCCAAGAGCTATCATAAAAGCCAAGACTAAATTCTCTTTCTTCCTGCCCACAACTTGGATACATTGCTTGTCGCCACTGTCATTTAAGCCAATATGTTTATAATTAGGGCCATAAATTCGGCTGCTTCTCCCAAACGTGTGCCCTCTATACATATTGGATTTCAACCCCCATAATTTGGTAGCCCTGGCCAGGTATCGTAGAAATTCATTATTTCTGGAGTCCACCACTTTTGGAAAAGATTGTTTAGAATATGTATACGTGAGACGTCAATCTGATGAAGCAAACCCTTGTTCAGGAAATCCTGTCTGAAACATTTACCAGCTTTCTACCACTCTATTCCTGGTAGTTCTTAGTAGCATCACATGACTTCGAAGAGTCTCCTAATCTGCCCCTCCTTTCTTTTCTTGTTTAATTTCTTCTGCCAATGAGTTGGTACAGTCAAATCGATTAAAGCGCAAAAAAGGGAGTGCGGCCAAATGTTTCCAATACGAGCAACACCGCCCTCCCTACAGAAAGGAGTCAACTTCAGAACCTTGCTGGAAAGTCAAATTCTCGAATGTGTTTTGTTACTATGCAAAATTAATGAGGCAGCAGATAAAAAGGAAAATCTACCTCAAATGTTCCGTGTTTGTTTTGTTATTTTAAGGGCTTTCCTTTTTTTCAAGCAAGGAGCGTGTGGAAAGAGTCAAAAGACGAAAGGGAAAGTCCGCAGCAGGTGGAAATTCCATCTCCAAGGACCAGCTTGTTTATTAGCGTCATGGTATTGCCTGATGACGAGAAGTAATCTCCTTGCTCAGTAACTGCAACAGGGGAATAGTAACTTTCCGAGGCAGAGAATCCCCAGTAAGCGCTTCGGGAGTGTCAGGGTTATTCTCTCCGCCACACACAACACACACACACACACAGAGAGAGAGAGAGAGACAGACAGACAGAGCGAGCGACGGGTTCTCCCGTCTTCTCTCCTCCCTTTTCTCTGACGGAGGTTGCTCGACGGGCGGCTAAACCAATCGGCTCTCGTCCTAGGCCTGTAACTACAAGGCGATTGGTTGGCAGAAGCAGATCGCTGCGCAAAAACAGACCAGCCGAGCGCTCGGAGCTCAGAAACTGCCAGCAAGAGATCACAGAAGCTCGAGCTGGGACAGGAAAGAAAGAGAGCCTCCGAGTCAGTGAATGAGTCTGGGAAGCCAGAGATAGCAAAAAAAAAAAAAAAAGAGGAGGGTGGAAGAAAACTGATCCGGACTCTTGTTAGCGGGGGAAGGGGAGGGAGAGCGCTCTCAGAGAAAAGGCATTCAAGGAAGAGATGGCGAGAGAGATTTAAGAGAATCTCCACTGAGTCCTCGAGAAATTCAGGGATTTAAAGTTTAGGGTCGCCGAACTGCTCTTTTACCTTCTTCTCACCCCGCCACATCTTTTCGATGGCTGCAATATCTTCTGGCTGTTTTTAGTTTCATCTGTTCCCCTCTCCTCCTCCGCGGGAAGAGGGAGGGAGAAAGAGCAGCTTTTTCTTGGGTCAAATTTATTTTTCTTCAACCGAAAGGGGCATGTCCATCGGTTCTTCTGGCAGCTTCCCCCCCTCTTGCTCCTACAAGAAAGCCAACCCGAGGATAATCTTGAAATATACCGGTTCCCCCGGATTTGTTGCTGCTGCTGCCTCCACCGCCTCTCCTCCTCCTGCTGCGGTGCAGTGCCTGGACACTGGGAATAAATTAGCACGGGCTCTTCTGTCTATATAGCCACCTACCTATTGCCTCTGGTTAGCCATTTCTTACGAAGATCACTTGGTGTGGTGGGAGCTCTGCCTGGCAGCCTCCCGTGCCTGTCTTGCATGATTTCCCAGCCTTCCGTCATCGTCCCCCCCTTCCCTTTTTTTCCAGTTTCGTGTGAAGGAAGAGGGTGATGGGGAAGAGAAGAGAAAATGAAGGGAAAGGAATGAGCATAAATCATTTTTGACGCTCGCCCTCAGTCTTTTGCTTTTCCTCTCCAGGCCCGTTAAACACGGTATTTCTCGAAGGAGGAGGGGGATTTTTTGGTGGAGAAGGAGGAAGTGTTGGCGTCGGAGAGGGGGATCTCTTTCCCCCTTTTGGAGATGGTGGTGCTATTCTTCTTTGCCTTAAACTGGATGGTGGAGGGAGCCCTTTCTCAGCTTCACTACACGGTGCAGGAAGAACAGGAACATGGCACTTTCGTGGGAAATATTGCCGAAGATCTGGGCTTGGACATTACAAAACTTTCCGCTCGCCGCTTCCAGACGGTGCCTAATTCGCGAAGCCCTTATCTGGATCTCAATCTGGAAACCGGGGTGCTGTATGTGAGTGAAAAGATCGACCGGGAGCAAATCTGCAAGCAAAGCCCGTCCTGCCAGTTGCACCTAGAGGTTTTCTTGGAAAATCCGCTGGAGCTGTTCCGTGTCGAAATCGAAGTGCTGGACATCAACGACAACCCGCCTGCTTTCCCGGAGCCCGACCTGACCGTCGAGATCTCGGAAAGCGCTACGCCGGGCACCCGTTTCCCCTTAGAAAGCGCCTTTGATCCAGACGTGGGGACTAACTCGCTGCGCACCTACGAGATCACCCCCAACAGCTACTTCTCCCTGGACGTCCAGACGCAACCCGATGGCAATCGCTTCGCCGAACTAGTATTGTCCAAGCCCTTGGACCGAGAGCAGCAGGCGGTGCACCGCTATGTGCTCACGGCCGTGGATGGTGGGCAGCCCCAGCAACGGACCGGCACGGCCCTGCTCACTATTCGGGTACTGGATTCCAACGATAATGTGCCCGCCTTTGAACAGCCCGTTTATACCGTCTCCCTGCCGGAGAACTCGCCTCCCGGCACCCTGGTGCTACAGCTCAATGCCAGCGACCCGGACGAAGGCCAGAACGGCGAGATCATCTATTCGTTCAGCAGTCACATCTCTGCCCGGGCGCGGGAACTCTTCGGCATCTCCCCAAGGACCGGCCGCTTGGAAGTCAACGGCGAACTGGACTACGAGGAGAGTAGCGTGTACCAGGTGTACGTCCAAGCCAAGGATCTGGGGCCCAATGCCGTGCCCGCTCACTGTAAGGTGTTGGTGCGGGTGCTGGACGCCAACGACAATGCTCCCGAGATCAGTTTCTCCACCGTCAAAGAAGCGGTGAGCGAGGCGGCGGCTCCAGGCACGGTCGTGGCTCTCTTCAGCGTCTCGGATCGAGACTCCGAGGAGAACGGGCAAGTGCAATGCGAGCTGCTGCAAGGCGACGCGCCTTTCCGCCTGAAAAGCTCCTTCAAGAACTACTACACCATTGTAACCGAGGGGCCCCTGGACCGAGAGCAGCCCGGCGGCGACGCCTACACTTTAACCGTGGTGGCGCGGGACATGGGCGAACCGGCGCTGACCACCAGTAAGTCCATCCAGGTGCGAGTCAGCGATGTGAACGACAACGCGCCCCGTTTCTCGCAACCCGTTTACCAGGTGTACGTGAGCGAAAACAACGTGCCCGGAGCCTACATTTATGCCGTCAGCGCCGCGGACCGAGACCAGGGTGCCAACGCGCAGTTAGCCTACTCCATCTTGGAGAGCCAGATTCAGGGCATGTCGGTCTTCACCTACGTCTCCATCAACTCCGAGAACGGGTTCCTCTATGCGCTGCGCTCTTTCGATTACGAGCAGCTCAAGGAGTTCAGCTTCCAAGTGGAAGCCCGCGACGCAGCCGGAGGGAACGGCGAGGGGGAACCCAACGGCGAGGAAGCGCTAGCCGGCAACGCCACCGTCAACATTGTGGTCGTGGACCAGAACGACAACGCGCCGGCCATCGTCAGCCCGCTGCCGGGCCGCAACGGCACGCCGGCGCGTGAGGTGCTGCCCCGAGGCGCCGAACCGGGCTACTTGGTCTCCCGCGTGGCGGCGGTGGATGCGGACGATGGAGAAAACGCGCGGCTCACCTACAGCATTGCCCGGGGCAACGAGGCTAGCCTCTTCCGCATGGACTGGCGCACCGGCGAGTTGCGCACGGCGCGCAAAGTGCCCGCCAAGCGAGACCCGCAGCGGCCCTACGAGCTGGTCATCGAGGTCCGCGACCACGGGCAGCCCCCGCTTTCTTCCACCGCCGCCCTTCACGTGGTCTTGGTGGACAGCGCAGTGGAGCGCCAGGGGGCGGGCGCGGGCGGGGGCGCGGGAGGAGCGGGCACTGGGGGCCTAGTCCCTGGGGGCGCAGGAGGCCCGGGCGGAGAACATCGGCCCAGCCGCTCGGGCGGGGCCAGCAGCGCCGACACCTCCCTGGACCTGACTCTGATCCTCATTATCGCCTTGGGCTCGGTCTCTTTCATCTTCCTGCTAGCCATGATCGTGCTGGCCGTCCGCTGCCAGAAGGAGAAGAAGCTCAATATCTACACGTGCTTGGCCAGCGACTGTTGCCTGAGTTGTTGTTGCTGTTGTTCTTGCTGCAGCCGCCAGGCGCGAGCCCGTAAGAAGAAGCTCAGCAAATCGGATATCATGCTGGTCCAGAGCTCTAACGTACCCAGCAACCCGGTCCAGGTGCCCGTAGAGGAGTCGGCAAGCTTTAGTTCCCATCACCACAACCAGAACTATTGCTATCAGGTTTGCCTCACACCCGAATCGGCTAAGACCGACCTGATGTTCCTCAAGCCTTGCAGCCCTTCCCGCAGCACAGAGGCGGAGCACAATCCTTGCGGGGCCATCGTCACTGGATACACCGACCAGCAGCCCGACATCATCTCGAATGGCAGTATATTGTCTAGTGAGGTAAGACGCTAGCTTCTCCACCTTTCAGGAGCAGCCACTCCTGCCAAGTACATTGCAGTGTTCGCCTCAATTTCCCTCTAAAAATGTCACCAGTTGAGGTTAATTGATGTCCTAATACAACCTCGCTTTATTGAAAAGGAATACCTACAAGGTCTACACATCATTGCATCCTAACCGGACTAGTCTACGACACCTTTTGGCTTGGGCTGCCTGTTGAATTTGGGGAAACTTCCTCTCATGCAACTTATGGGATTGATAACTAATATTGCAATATTACAATTATTATTTTTGTAATGTAGTATTACAATAATAATTGGAATATTATTACAATTGACAAATATCCCTACATTTTTATTATTGATAACACAAAACTTGCACAATCAGTAAAGGGCAACAAAGAGATAGAGGGAAGGAAAACAAAAATTCTTTGTAGCCACTTTATGGTTGTCCAGATTTTTCCAGTCAAAATATGTAGCCTTAAGTAGTAGCATTAATACTGGTAGCATTGTGTCAATTCTAGAGTTAGTATAAACCTGATACATTTTTTCTGATAGTTTTCTTTTCACAAATGCTTACAATTCTGTACTTTGACATTTCTCACCATTAATTGTTATTGGAAGTTTATTGTTCAACCTGAATAGATTTTCCACTATCATTGTGGTTATAGCAAGTAGTTGCAGATGAATATGTACCTGATTTATGTCAACTCACCAACAACACAAGCTCTTGTCTGGAAAACATTGTTGTGTACATATAAGTCAATCTGCAGTTCAGTGCCGCTTTCTTCTGCACCATCTTTGTCACTTTTCAGCCACTTTCTTTTCAGATGCAGGAGTGTAAATATTGTTACAGTTTAACAAAGGCCATACTGTGAACATTTTAGTTTGCTTGTTCCATTTTCAGAATCAAAGCAGCATAGCTTGAGCAGTATTTACTATTTGTGTAGAATGGTTAGTCAGAATTAATTCTATGGTTATTTTCATCGCTTTTTCAGGAACAGATACCAAGTCTGAGGGAAATCAACAAACAGCCCTTTAGAAATTCCTTTATTTGTGATTGAGGATATGCAGACATTTACTTATGAAATATGAACATCTAACTAGCAAGCAGAGAATTAAAATTTCATAGTTAAAAATCCATTCATTATCGCTACATAAGATTATTATTCTATGTTTTTCCCCCATCAAAAGAGGTACCTTGAGAAAATGCAACTGAAAGCATCCTTAATAAGTATGGAACTTTTGTATTAAGCTAGTGTGTAAATAATATTTATCTATCCTATAATCTGGGTTTAGCCTTTTAACCTGTGATGTGATACAAAATAACTTTGCTATATTTTCTGTGTACATATTGTTGGGAAAATGTAAAACCTATTTCCAGTGCAGTTCTAAATATATTTACTCATAAGTAAAGCCTACTAACTTTATCAGGAATTAATCTCAGGTAAATGACCACAGGAGTGCAAGTAGAAGAGAGTTTTTAATTATTATTATTTACACAGCTTTAATTCTCCCCCCTTATCCAATGAGATATATTGGATATTTTATGGCTATACATTATTTTTTAAACATGTCATTGCTTCCATGATAGTTTGCCTTGAAGTGTTTAATTAACTGTCATTTGAGTTTTTTCCCCATCCACAGTACATGTTGGCTAGTTTGAGTAACGGTTGTGGATTTTACATAAGATGAGTAGTTGCTGTTAATTGTTAATTTAGAGACAAATGTATAATTCTTTCTTATTCAATTTAAGAGAATGGCAAAAAGCAGATGAGATATACCAGAAGTATTAGTTATTTAATTGATTAAAAGCAAGTATATATGCATATATGTGTGCTATTATGACTAAAGATTCACAATCATTTATTTATTTGTTTATTTCCTAATTATTTTTTAGACAAAACATCAACGTACGGAGCTCAGTTATCTAGTCGACAGACCTCGGCGTGTAAACAGGTAGGAGCTTCACATTTCTGATTTCCTAAATTAGGGTCAGAATTATGTACAACCTGACATGTATTTCTTAAAGGTGAAGGAACATACAGATATGTACTTACAGAAGGTATTAAATAGCAGCTGAGCAATATAAAATAAATGTATTCAGGTGGCACCAGATATGTGCAATGAACATCTCCTGAATTATGGCATTTGGTGAATCACACTGAAATTTCTTGGGGGGAAAAGAGAAGTGTTATACTGATTTGAATTATGTTTCAAAAACTTAACAGGTAACATTGTAGGACTACCTGTCCAAATTTAGATCCTTGACTATTTAACAAAATAGTCTAGCATAATTTACACCGAATACACATGGTGGAAATAACAAGCACTCTAAATATTTGGTTACTGTCCCTGAAAATATAAGTTTTGCTTTTGATGGAGAGTGCTGCTTAGTTGAAACAGTATAGCAAAGACCATCTAGCTGAGTGCAGCACCACCTGTGGCCATATGATGGCAGAAGAATGTTTTACGAATTTCTCTTTTCTTGGTACTTCAAACATTAAGTTCCTTTTTTTATATTTCTAGTTCTGCATTCCAGGAAGCAGACATAGTAAGCTCTAAGGACAGTGGTCATGGAGACAGTGAACAAGGAGACAGCGATCATGACGCCACTAATCGAGGTCAATCCACTGGTAAGTTTGATGGGGAGGGGGAACTCTAAATATTTGATCTTTTAATAGGACCATCAGGAGCAATTATAGATAGGTAAATTAATAATGGGCCATAAGTAATTTGATGTAGAGTGTTTATAATTTCATGATAATGTACATCTGACTGGATGTAACAAATAGATTTTTCAGTTGTAACACACTTATAAGAAGATTATTATTATTTTAATGCTGGCTGTCTTTTGCAAAGTAGATCATTTTGAAACATTAATCGTGCTTTGTTATATTGATACAACCATGCTGATATATTTTGGTGGGCTTCTTAAATCCTGAAAAGCTAATGGGATGTTTTCAGACTGGTTTTCAATAGCAATTCTCAGATTGGCTCAGAACTGAGTTTATTCAGAGTTATGCTCAAGCGATAGGTCCACAGGGAATTGAACAAGGGAGAATTTCAAATGCATGACAGAGTAGACTGTTTTATGTGTGTGTATGTATGTATGTATGTATGTATGTGTGTGTGTGTGTGTATGTATGTATGTATGTATGTATGTATGTATGTATAATGGAGAACAGTCATTTTATCTTCAGTTGGAAGCTCGAAAATTCTTGGAAATGTAGTATTTTTCAAGTAGTAAGTATTGTAATGCTTGGTTGAAGAGAATTGGACTCTCATTCCCTTGGTAAATCTGATAGTATTCTCACTTTGCATCTGTATACTTATGAGGAATGCTGACTCTTTTAGCATTTGCTTCACTGAACAGCATCCCTGCAGTTTACCAGGTGTTAGAGGCACTTGTCACTAGATTGTAATCAACCGAGTTCCTGGAATCTAGGCTTAGTAGTAATAAATCTCTGCTTTTTCTAGTTTGGTAAAATCTCCAGAGAGCTGCTGCTACAAAAATGCCTTCCAGGTTTATGCTTGTTTGTTTTCTCCCTCCCTTTCTTTCTTTCTGTCTGTATCTTCCCTAAAACATCTTCTAAGGCAAACCCTCAACTGCCCAGAAACATAGAAACCTTGACACTTGTCTATATGGAGGAGGAAGGAATCCCAGCCTTTTTGAAGAGTTCTATGCTTGGCTATGAGAAGTTTAGGCACCTGGGGGAGGGGGAGTTTGGGATGCCATTCAAGGACTGCTTTATATTGCTGCAGGTCATTAATATGCAGACCTAATGAGATTTGAGAAAAGCCAAGAGCCTGTAAGCTCCCTGCAATTTGCAGAGCTTCATGCTTAGTGAACACAGCATCTATTTTGTGTATGGGAACCTTATAACAAACCAACTCTTGCCAGAAGTGTACATTGGAACAATATCTTATTACTATTTTTGCAAATTATTATATTCTAAATGTTTGTTTTTCCCCAGTCTTCTTCCAATTTTCTGGCATCATGTTTAAGGCAACAATATTTGAAGGGGTTTTTTTCTTAACAAAAGCTTTATTTATTCTACCCCTCAATTGTTCTCTTACTGTCTTTTAAAAGAAAGAAACAAATTGGAGTTGGGCAGCTCATAAATTCAAATAAATAAATAAATTTTATTGCAGCACTCATGTTCATGAATATTTCATCTTCAGCCAGTTTCTCTCTCAATATAATGAACCATGGTAACAAAGTGTAAGACAAGAGAATCAACATTTTTGCAAGGACCTAGAATGGGAAAGCAAAATGAATAGATGCAATCATTTGGGATGCACATCAAACAAAAGGCATTTTTTTAAAAAAATCCACTAATGTTGGTATACTTAACTTCCCTGTTCTTGTTTTAGATTATTTAACCTGGAATTAGATTGTATGAAAGCTGGCTCTGAAACTAAACTCTTTCTATAAACTAGATATTAATATACTTTACTAATAAGTTGAAATGTTTTCACTTAATCTGATTTTAATTGACTTCAGATTCATGACTTTCTGTATATTTGGTTTGTATTTTGATCTGTGAACTTTAGATTCAAGTTTATGCAAATATAAGAGAGGAATAAATTGCATTCAGCAATTGTTTTTTTAATCAGAATTAAGAGTTTTATATGATTTTTACTGTATATTAATCATAGTTTGCCAAATTACACAATCATTTTGCATTCAGTTATTTTTCCATTGCATAGATGAGTATTGATGCTGGGGCTATGGGTTTAGAGAATCTGATAAACGTACAGGTTTTTTTTTCTACCTAGTTTAGAGGATGTTAAAGGACATTGTGTTTATATGCTATTGTGTAAATATAATATGAATAATAATTAAACAATGTTGGTTCAGGCAGAAGTAATAAGTAAAGAAACTAATTTAGCTAAATACTTCAATTGCCAACTTCATCAATAGTCTAATAGTCTCATATAGAGAGATGACACCAAATATACTAAATGATTTTAAATTTATTTCCATTTTGTCAATCAAAATCACTTTTCTTCACTAGCATCAGATAAATATGATACTGAATACTAAAGTTTTCAAAATTTTTATATTTTACTTGATTTAACTATTGGAAAATCTCAATACTTGCCAGGAATTTTTATGTATTTATTTGGACCTTACAACAACTTTTGGTCCATTGTTTCTCTTATTGCCATCTTTCATTTCTTTTTATGATTTGAGTTTATGCCTTCCATTTGCTTCTCATTCTTATTACTTTATAACAGCATTACACTGATATTCCTTTGTAAATTCTTTTCTTTAAAAAAAAGCAAAACCAACTAATTATTTAGCACAGGGATGTCAAACTTACAGCCCGTGGGCCGCCGGATGTATCATGTGCTGGCCATGCCCACCCCAGTTTTAGTGAAGGAAAAAAGTCACAATATATCACGTGACAACAATGTGATGCCCCTGATTTAGCACGTATTCAAGAGCCAACATTTTCTGAAGCAATTGTGATTACCCATTAGGTCTCAAGCCATACTATAATGAAACTTGAATAGATTTTACTTTAGTGTTCCTCCTTTTTTTTAAGGAAAAATAAAGCTTCAGCCTCTTCTTTTCTTCCTATCTGGTCATGCAAGACCAAATTGCCTATTGTTGATTAATGTGTCATGGCTTGGACAACAGGTACAAATGGCTCTGTTGAAATACATCTCCTAACCAGTCATATCTTATATTTATATATCACTTCACATTGAGACACTGTGTATGGTGGAAATAAGTTAAAAAGCTAAAATTCATAAATGCATTAAAATAATGTTAGACTAGCATTTATTTATCTATGTATTTAAAAGATTTACAAAGCCACCCTCTCACTATCTGTGATTCTGTCAAAAGACAAAAACATTGAAAGAATAAAAAACCAAAACAATCTAATAAAAATAATCTAACAAAACAAAAAACATAATGCATAATTAACACATAATAAAGGGTTGCAATAAAAAAACAAGTGTACACATCACAGAATGGCCTCATTTACCATCGCAGCTCAATGCACAGAAAAAGAGGTTAAATCAGGTTAAAACAGCCATAGTGTGTGTTTATTATTAGTTTTATATCCCACCATTTATTTTGTACATCCAAGTCAGTAGACATAATGCTCTGGCCTCCTGTTTTCCCCACAGCAGCCCCTAATTCAGTTTGGGCTGTGAGAGAATGATTAGCCAATAGCAATAAAATAAGCCACTAGAATAGTATTTAGAAAATAGCTAAATGTGGTTTAAAAATCTAAACTAAAAAGCTGGAATAATAAAACATTTTCAGCTGGTATGGAAAAGATTACAATGGAAATATCAACCTAAGCATGTCCAAGACATGAATTCCATAATCAGAGCGTCCCCACTGAAAATTTATTTCTTTGTAGACAGACCTGTATCACTTCATTTTAAATCCAATACATTTAGAAAGCACATTCAAGATAAACTGACTCTAGGTGTTTATAAATGAGCTCAGAAGTGGATTGCACTGGTACTTCTAAAAACAGTGGATTTATTTTTGTAAAGTTAGAGAACTGTAAGATCAAACTGCATGTCACATTCTCTGCTATAATTCAATAAAGCATTGTGAAAAATTCCTTCACATGAATAATAGCTCAGTTAAAAAAAATTATAAATATTCATTTTTCTGAAAAAGTGTTTTTGAATAATATATTATTACATTTAAAAAATAAATCTTGTCTGTAACAAAATAATGCAAACAACATTTGTGGGCTAGAAAAAGGATTATCTAGAATATATCAAAGCAAAGCCTTGTGGCTTCATAGTAAAAATGAATTTAAAATCCAAGGAGAACAGTAGATGATAAATGATGATAGGAAGTCCTCTATTTTTTTTTAACAGTTTGGTTTCTGAGTGTGAAATACAGTATTGGAGATGAAATATCTAAATTTATTTGTGTACATTATCCATGGGCAATATATTATCTTATGTTATACCTGGTATTATTGAGAGCCAGTTTGCTCTGGGGGTTAAGACAGCAGGCAGGAAACTGGGAGAATGTGAGTCTAGTCCTGGCCAAAACATGAAAGTTAAATGGCTGACCTTGAGACAGTCACTCTCTCTGAACCCAACTCACAGGGTTGTTGATGTGGGGAAAATAGGAGGAGGAAGATGTATTGTGTATGTCCTCTGTTTTGACTTAGTGGTATTTATAAAAATAATAAAGACGGGATAAAAAAGAAATAATATTCTGACAGTTTTAACGTAGGTTCTAAGAATCTGTTTCTGTGGGTTTTTTATGTTATATCTTGTAAACACCCATCTCTCTCGTGAGCTAGACTTGAAACAAATGTACCATTTCATCCTTTCTAAAACATAATGCTGATTTTGAAATTTGATTTCTAATGGAGTGTGGAAAAAGAGGCTGTATCTTTTTAGTCTTCACTTATAGTACAAAAATCAAAGATTTACAGGATTAGATTGTAGATAGTACTAATGACTTGCTTATTACGTATCAGTGGAACACCACTTAAAATGCAGCATTGTCTGGCATGCAACATGTTGTGCCTTTTTTGTTCCTAGTGTGTATAAAGAACTCACACTAAATAGTTTGAATATATACAATTTTAGAGGATAGATTTTTGTCAAGAGAGTTGAGAAACATTTCTTGCCATCTGCAAAATGAATCAGAGGTTTTTAGTGATAGAATCTTGAAGACATACTTTGCAAATTCTGGGTGGAAAACAAAGAGCATAGGACAAAGGTGAAAAGAATTGCTATTTTCCTTATCCAATCCACACTGACTTTTATTTCAGTTCTATTTAAAGATGATTCTGATATTTCAGTTGCTTTGTACGAAATTATACAGGGATATGTGTTAAAACGGCTTTTGGTAGTTCTTTGACAGTGAGCATATTTGAAAATTTTCCCATTGTTGGTTGTTAATCAAAATGGTCTAGATTCTGCTGTGGGATTGATGTTTTGCAATTGCATGGTCGGACAAGAGAAAACAGAAGGCTCACAGATATAGATTGTTCAAAGGAAGGTTTAGGTGATCAGCCTTCAAATTAAAGAAGTGGAAACACTGTTGCTATTGAAAATGTAACATCAGGTAGAAAATAGATGTAATCTGGCAGATCAATTACTTATAGTTGGATCATTAGTACATATAATATATTGGACATGACTTAATATCTCTGGAGAAGGGGTTTTTTTGTGTATCACTTCTCCCATCTTCCCCCTTTTACTTCAAGAAACAAATTGCAAATATCAGACTTTCAGAACAAAATAAGAAAATTTAATTATTATTATTTTGTGTAAACATTAATATTTTGTGATAGTCATGGTCTTGTACTTGGTTACATCAATCTCAATGAACTTAGCAAGATCTCTGCACTCATGTTCCACGTGGTTTTATCAATTCCCACATTTGCTTTTTGGAGAAAGGTATAGTTTGCAAGTTATTGGAATCCTTTTTTACTTCAGTTGACTGAAGAAGAGTAATGAACATAAAGCATACACTGTATTATTAGTATTCTTTTGGTATAAATGTTGAAAATCTATAACTCATATGTACTTATAAAATGCTAATTAAAAAAGAAAAACTTTCATACTCAGAGGTTATTTGTAGACTCCATTCCTTTTCTGTAAATTGGCTGAAATAACAAATGTATTCATTGAGAAACTATTTGAGTGTTGAAATGATTACATGAGAGAATGGAAGCGTTTGAATGGATTGAACGTTTCCTTTAAAATATAATATTGGGATTTTTGGTTTATAAAAGACTATGGAATTAATAGTTCTTGCCACATTTCTTGATGCCAGGAATCTGTTCTAACCAGGAGGTTTGTCAAATAATGAAAAGCTCTAATTTTGGTTGGAAGTCAGTAGTACAAATGTTATTGAACATTCGTTAATATTTGTTTGTCCCTACAAAATATTTAACAATATTTTACCATCGTAACAAATAGCTTGGCTGAGTGGATATATTTTTATTGTTATGTAAGTTCATTTCTATCCTTTGGGAAGAAGCAGAGCATACATTTAAAGAAATAATATTTTGAAATCAAGCCTAACATACCATTGTTGTCACCCCCAAAATATGCTTCTTATGCATCAAACCATATGTACATCTTTGTGTGCTATTACACAAACTAAATACATTTTCCACTTAGTGATTAGAAACACTTCTTTGTTTTTATATAAAAAAATTAGCCCTTTACATAAAAAGTGAAATGGTAAATAACAGAAAATGAAAGCTTCTTTCTTTATATGCTTCTTTATATTATTATCTTTAATCACTGCCCATACACTGAGTTCATTGGGTCTAGCTTCCACAGTAAGCATAAAGTGTGTAGAATTGTACCCTAAACCTAGTTTTTATGATGGTCATGTTTGAGGGGAAAAAAACACCAAATAAATCACCGGCAGTAAGCCACTGTGCTTCTAATAACACTGTGCCTTAAAATTTTAGAATATCTTGACACTGTGAAGAACCCCCTGCTAGAAATCCTGTAACAAGCTTTTAATTTCTATGTTGAGATTACCTAGGTATAGGTGTCTGTGTGTTTACCTACAAACATGTATCTGTTTATATACATGAATATAATTTCAAACCAGAGTTTTGGCTTCAATTTTTTGGAAAACGGTCTGATAGCTTCAGTCTATGAGACTGGACATGAGCTTTTGTTAAATATTATTAAACAGTTATTCAAAATGTATGCTTTTAACATTTATTGAGTGCAGTCTTAAGTTTGTGAATAATTGTATCAGTGAGTCAACTGACCTTATTAGTAAGGGCACATTTTTAGATACTGTATCCTTCTCCAGCCAAATAGCTTCTAGATGTGTTGGTATTTTCTAACAAGTAGCTATGTTGACTAGCAATTGTGCAGGTGCCTCATAATTCCTCATTTGAAGGCTTTGATTGTGGAAATTAATATGTATAAATTAATAAGTTCAAATCGCTTTAGTTGGCATGAACAATGATAATTTCATTCTGATTTTCATCTGATTTTATTATTATCATATATCACCTGGAAAACTAAGCAGTACACTCTTTATCTGTCCTCCAAAAGAATTGGAATTGGGGTCCCATCATATTTGGAGGGCAGAAGGTAGAACAAAGATGGATTAATGAACTGTATTCAATATAAATAGGCATTTCGTGAAAAAAAAAACCTTCCATTTTTTGGATTAATATTTGTATCTACTCTTTTACCAGTAGTAAGTAAACTAGCCATTTATTTTGCAAGCATTTATATTACATTATAATATACAGGTTGTCCTCAATTTAGAACCAATAGTTTAACAATTTTACAAAATTATGAACAATCTTGGAAAAAACGACTTATTTATCGTACCTGTGTTCAAAGTTATAACTATTATATCACCATGCAGCCATGTATTCACAATTCCAGTGCCTGACAACTGGCTTGTATTTCTGATGATTGCAATGTCATATAGTCATGTGATCATAATTTGCAACATTCCCAAATGACTTCTGAGAAACAAAGACAGTTTGCTTAATGACCACAATCATTCACTTAACCATGTGATTCACTTAATGACTGCATTAAAATGGTAACATCACGTCTGATCACATGATGACTCAGGTTGACTTATGGCAGAAATTTCAGTCCTAGTTGTGGTCATAAATTGAGGACTGTATATTTGTGTTTGTGTGCATGTATATAATATGTTTGTGTGCATGCATATAATTTGCTTTGTATTGTGTGTATTGCTCCTCTAAAATTTTATTTCCAGGTGATGTTTACATGTACATTGCTCAATGGTTTACTCATTATTTATTTCCAAACTTTTGTGATTGCAATTATCTGTAGAAGATTTCAAACAAAGCCAAATTCTTTTTTTCTGAATTTAAAATAACATTTCTATTATAAAGTATTAATTAAGTCAAATACTCCTTCCTTCCTTCCTTCC